GATTGTAAATTTTAGTCCAGCCTGGGCAACTTAGTGAGACTTTGTCTCAAAATTAAAAATAGCTGGGCATGGTGGTACATGCCTTGTAATCCCAGTGGTTTGGGAGGCTGAAGCAGGAGGATCACAAATACAAAACCAGTCTCTGCAATTTAGCGAGGCCCTAAGCAACTTAGTGAGACCCTGTCTCTAGATAAAATATAAGAAATGGCTGGGGATGTGGGAATGTGGCTCAGTGGTTAAGTGCTACTGTGTTCAATCCCCAGAACTAAAAAAAAAGGGGGGGCTGGGGATGCCAGGCAGGGTGGTACATGCCTGTAATCCCAGAGACTCAGAAAGCTGAGACAGGAAGATTGCAAATTAGAGGTCAGTCTCAACATCTTAATCATAGTGAGACCCTCAATAACAGTGAAATCCTGTCTCCAATTAAAAAAAAAGTAAATAAATAAAAAGGACTGGGGATGTAGCTCAGTGGGAGAGTGCCCCTGGACTTATTCCCTGTACCATAAAAACAAACAAAAGACCCAAAGACATTGGCCTATATAACCACAACAATCAAAATCAGGAATACAAGCTACTAGATTTAACTTTTGCCAATTGTCCAAGTAGTGTTCCCTATAGCTTTAAATAAAGATTTGAGCTGGGGCTATAGCTCAGGGCAGAGCGCTTCCCTAGTGTGTGAGGCACTGGGTTCAATCCTCAAGGTTACATAAAAATAAATAAATAAAATAAAGGCATGCTGTACATCTACAACTACCAAAAAAAAAAAAAAAAAAAAAAGGCCGGGCATGCCAGTGGTGCATGCTTGTAATACCAGTGGCTTGGGAGGCTGAGGCAGGAGGATCACGAGTTCAAAGCCAGTCTCAGCAATGCCAAGGTGCTAGGCAACTTGGTGAGACCCTGCCTCTAAATAAAATACAAAATAGGGCTGGGGATGTGGCTTAGTGGTTGAATGCCCCTGAGTTCAATCCCTGCTACAAAAAAACAGGGGTTCAGAATTTAATCCAGCATGGTCTATATTTTGAGGATAAAATGTATTTTCTTGGAAGTTTCTATCTCTAGTCTTCTTCTACTTTGCAAATATCTGCTTGTCCTATCTTCACACCTCTTAATCTTTCCACAAGCAGTTCTAACATTAATTTCTAGTGTCTAATATTAGAAGTGCTATCAGCATATAACAGAAAACTTGCCACCAATAATAAACATCAAATGCTGACAGTGACTCTAGTGTTTGAATTTTAGTTAGTGTTGGTAGTTAACTAGTAACACATACTACACTTAAAGTCAAATAGTAGTCTTTGTTGTTACTTAGTGTCTCTTATTAATTTGTACTTGGCTTTAGAAGCTTATAAACTTATATCAATAAAAGAGGGTCTTGGCTGGGTGCTGTGGTGCATACCTGTAATCCCAGTGACTTGGGAGGCTAAGGCAGGAGGATTTCAAGTTTAAAGCCAGCCTCAGCAACTTTATCTGAAAATAAAAATAAAAAGGGCCAGGTGTAGTGCACAGTTGTAGTGCACCCCTGGGTTCAATCCCTAGCACCCACCCTCCACACAAAGAGGGTCTTATTGGAAGTTCTGGGCAATGTTAATTTTAACCAAATTCCTCTCAGCAATATTGGGAAATAGCCAAAAATGCTTGTTTTGGGGTGGGTAGAGATGGTCTATTATTCTGCTAACAGCAATGCTTTTGCTTCCAAAACTGATTGCTATTTCTATAAAAAAACAAATACCCAGTAACAGTTCCACAATGGAAACAAACAAAATGAAGAATAATGTAATCATTAAATGTGTATGGCTCTAAAGTGATAAATGTCTCCTGAACATACTGAAAAATCCTGAATCACAATAGTACTTTAAAAATAGTTTGTAAGTCTGAGTTGATAGGTCTGCCTAAGCCTTGATAATAATTCTTTGTTGTTGTTTATTAAAGGGTGACACTCAAAAAATAATGCAAATGTCATCTGTCTACACAAACAAACCCCATGACATGTTTAACTACTTAACACAGATAAATAGGACCAGTGCCAGCATTAAGTGGTGCAAGAATTAGCTGTTGACAGGAACCAATTATTATGGCTAGTATTTTTCAAACAATTTAGGCAGGAGGTAGTTTTTTTTTTCCTTGAAATGTTCAGATATACACAAGTTTTGAATATGCATCTATGGAGATGTGGCCATTTAGTGAAAGATGTGCCTCTACTGTATGTGCACACCCACACACACTCACAAAGATAACTGAATGGGTTTTCAAATAAAGACAAAACAGAGATGTTCATTGTAATTCTCTCTCCCCACAGTGCTGAGGATGGAACCCAAAGCCTTGCACATGCTGGGTAAATGCACTACCACTGAGCTATACATAATTCTTAGTTTATTTATTTATTTTTTATTTTTTGCAATACTGGGGAATGAACTCAGGGACACTTTACCACTGAGCAACACCCCCAGACTTTTTGCTTTGAGATAGGGTCTCACTAAGTTGCTGAGCACTGTCCTCCAACTTGGTATCCTTCCTCTAGGAATACAGGTATGTCCCCCCATGTGTGGCTCTTTTGTTTTTAGACAAGGCTACTGAGTCTGGCTTGGAATTTGTGATCTTCCTCATTCAGCCTGACCATAATTTTCAATATGTTTTAGGTTAAGAAGCCTATATATACATTCTCATTGTGACTTAGTTGAAGCACCATCACCCAGAGATGTTATCCTAAAATAATGCGAATCTGTCTGCCATTTCCACAGCTCTCCACCATTTACAGCATACCAAACTTCTTCCCAGCTTAAGTGATTTAGCTTCTGCTTGTATCACCAGCATAAATGCCTCCAGTTTTTTTTTCCCCCAGTACCAAGGGTTGAAACCAGGACCTCACACATGCTAGGCAAATGCTCTACCATTGAGCTACATTCCCAGACCTCCTCCAATTCTTTTCATTGTGCTCCTTGCCCTCCACTCCCTAAGTGATAGCCAAATGAACTACAATGCTTGTAGTTCCAGAAAGAAAGGGGCTCTGTGCTTTGACTTTACATGCTTTTGTTCACACTCTCCTCTGGGCAAAGTGTCTTCTTTTGTTTACCTAAAGAACACTATGTCTTTCCTTTACAGATTTCTGCCCACATTTCACTTTGTGCATACCTCCTACTTTGTTAATCTTCTGTAATATTCTTTTTTTTTAATATTTATTTTTTAGTTTTCGGCAGACACAACATCTTTGTTTGTATGTGGTGCTGAGGATCAAACCCGGGCCGAACGCATGCCAGGCGAGCGCGCTACCGCTTGAGCCATATCCCCAGCCCCATCTATTGTATTATTCTATAACAGCACCTATAACATTTGATTGGATTTATTTGATCTTATTTTTTTTTTTTTTTAGTACCAGAGATTTATACAGAGTGGAGTAGAAATGGAAAGATTGTCTTGGATAATGGGCAATAAAGAAATGATTTTTAGTACCAGAGATTGAACCCAGGGGTGCTTAACCACTGAACCACATCCCCAGCCCTTTTTATTTTTATTTTTTTGGGACAGTGTCCTGATAAGTTGCTTAGGACTCTGCTAAATTGCTGAGGCTGGCTTTGAACTTCTGATCCTCCTGCCTCAGTCTCCTGAGTCACTGCCTTGCTATCTTTTTTTTTTTTTTTAATAGTCTGTAAGCTATCTGAGGTCAAGGACCATGAATTATACTTCTTTCTATCAACAGCTCCAGGAGTATTGTAAGTCTGACCATAGGGTGTACTCAGTAAATACCATTAAATGAAGAACAATTGTTTTTTGGTTTTGGTACTGGAAATTGAATCCAATGGTGTTTTACTATTGAGCTATACCCCCAGCCCTTCTTTATTTTTTTATTTTGAGATAGGGTTTGGCTAAATTGCTGAGGGCCTTGCTAAGTTGCTGAGGCTGGCCTCAAACCTGAGATCTTGCCTCAACCTCCAGAGTTGCTGGGATTATAGGTGTGGGCCACCATGACCAACTAAAGAACAGTTTTTTTTTTTTGCATTGGGAATCAAACTCAGGGGCATTCTATTGCTGAGCTACATCCCCAGCCTTTTTTATTTTGAGACAGTCTTATTAAATTGTCCAGATTGGCCTTGGGTTTGTAATCATCCTGCCTCTGCCTCCCTAGTCACTAGGATTATTTGTGTGCACCACCTCCTCCTGTAAATGAAGAACAATTGTAACCAAAATCATGTAAATAGTCATTGTTTATGAAGTAGCTACTAGCCACATATGGCTATTTATTTATTTATTATTATTTTTTAAAAATACTTTTTTAGAGAGTGAGAGAGAGAAAGAGAGAGAATTTTAATATTTATTTTTTAGTTCTCGGCGTACACAACATCTTTGTTTGTATGTGGTGCTGAGGATCGAACCCGGGCTGCACGCATGCCAGGCGAGTGCGCTACCGCTTGAGCCACATCCCCAGCTCACACGTACAGCTATTTACATTTAGGCTTTTATTTTTCTTGACAGTACTGAAGATTGAACCCAGGGCCTCTCACATGCTAGGCAAGCATTTTATCAATGAGCAATATCCCCAGACCTTTTCATCTTTTTAATTTTGATATGAGTCACACTAAGTGACCAAGGCTTCATCCTGTCTCAATCTCCTCAGTTCCTGGGATTATAGGTGTGCACTGCCATACCTGGTGTACATTTAACTTTTAATTAAAGTTAAATGAAATTAAAAATCCACTCCTTGGGGCTGGGATGTGGCTCAAATGGTAGCGTGCTCACCTGGCATGCGTGTGGCCCAGGTTCGATCCTCAGCACCACATACAAACAAAGATGTTGTGTCTGCCGATAACTAAAAAATAAATATTAAAATTCTCTCTCTCTCTCTCTCTCGCTCTCTCTCTCTCCCCCTCTCTCTCACTCTGTCTTTGAAAAAAAATCCACTCCTCATTTGCAGTAGATAAATTTTAAGTGCTCAGTAGCTACATGTGACTATCATACTGAACAATACAGGTTGTAGAATCTGTCATTATTGCAAAAAGTTCTAATAATGCTGATCCAGATAATTATTTATTCTTCATTTCAATTCAATAAACATTTATTGATTTTCTACTATATGCTAACATTTGTTTGGTTATAACACATGTGAACAAAACACGATTATTATTTGCAAGGCATTGAGTTGGGTCTGTGGTTCAGTAATAGAGCATTTTCCTGGTATGGGTGACACCTTGGGTTCCATCTCCAGCACCACAAACTGAAAAACAAAAACCAAAACACATTATATTATTTTCAAGGCATTCAACATCTGGTAGGGACAAGATTTCCAAATTATGAGAGATTATTTCCATATGGGGACAACAGGAAAGGCTTTTTGGAGATATTCTCATTTAAACTGGGCATTTGGGGATGGAGAAAATTTGAATGGGGGAAATCTAGGAAAAGGAGAGAAACAGTGCAAGTAAAGATAGGGGTAGGAGAGTTCTTGGAAAACACCAAATGATTTAGTTTGTTTGGATTGTATGAAATAGGAATGGGTATATAGCTCAGTGGTAGAGCATTTACTTACCATGTGCTAAGTCCTGGGTTTCATTTCCAGCACCATCACACACACAGCACAGTGACAGTGGTCTGTCTTTTCTAAAAAGTCATCTGGCTACACACACACACACACACACACACACACACACACACACACA